ACAAACAAAACCTAACCAAAGCTTTATGTAAAAGAGTGACTGCTCAAATGCAAATGTCCGTTTGGTCCTAAACAAGAGGCAGTTATCGAGCTATTGTTATTCAGGATGAGCGGTCGGGATGCCTCATTAACATCAATGAAGGAAGATTACGGACGAGTCAGTGATGGACTCGTTCAACCGTCCTAATAGCCCACAGCAAACGGAAAGAAAATAACTCCCTTTAATACAAACTTTTACGCAAAAAAATGAAACTAAAACCTTCCGTAGGAATTGTGATCTCGGTTGAAATGCTGCAATACTTCAGAGACCAGACGTATGTAAGGAAATGTAACAGTTACATACACAGTGGAGCAAAAGATATCAAGCCATATGTTCGTGAAAGTAACAGTATAGAGCTAATATGATGTTAGCAAAGAAATTACTCGCCACATCACAAAACACTTGTGCGGACCAAACATTTCTACGCTATTAAATATGTAACCTCTGAGGAGCTGTCTGGGGCTGTGATACATACTGTAACCACATGGCACATTTTATTAACTCTGGAATCATTTATTCTTTAAACTGAAGCTGACAAACATCGCGAACTACAGCTTAGCCAGCTAGCAAGTGAGGTGCAGCTGCCTCAGTGAGTGACATACTACAAAACGACTCGTTTATCCGTGAAAGAAAACCTCTAATATCCCACCCCAGCGTGTAATAGACAGCAAACCCCCTAATTATGATGTGCCATGATTTATTCCTGTGGGAAAATAAACCTGTTTACTGCATCTCCATAACTCCCGACCCGTACTGAGAAGCTTGCGGGAAACTCTCTCATCCCAATCAGCGCCAAAAATACTCACATCCGATTGGCTGACACGCGACGGCACAATTCAACCGGCCTTTTCAAATATCACCGTCTTCGCGGCTGACTCTCCGTTGAACATCTTCACTTATCCTTGGCGCACTCCAAACTTCATCGCAGGTTCGTTGTTTAAGATGAAGCCATGAGATTCTGAGATCATCTGTTTTTGTTTTATTTCGAAAAATGGCAACGCGACACAGATCACTGCTCGGGGAATTGAGCGGAGGGCAATTCTCACCATGTGATGTCAATGCGAGAGGGCGGGGATTCGTTTATCTTGTTGCCAGTTGCACAGAGAAAATAGGGGAAACGCTGAGTTTTACGTCATTGTATAAAACTAACGATCACGTTTTGGAATTTATTAGTTGCAATTTTTTTTGGTTGAATATAAACCAATACTGAAATGTGTACATTTTAAAATATATTTGTAATTTTCAGTTAATATGCTCTGAGCGTGTAGTCGATTTGCACTCAAGCATGAGTGTCTGGCAACCCGAAAATAAGCGCGCCAGACTGTGTTGCCATGTCCGTTTGTTATAAACGTCTTTTGGTTTGTTGATTTATTACGGCGCTTATAGACACTGGCTGCGTTTTTGTTATTTCCAATTTATGTAAATGCACCGACAAAAGATTTATTCATTGATTTAGATGGTATGTTAAACTTTTAATTGATTTAAAACACATAATTACATAAGACAAATCCATTGCAGCAAATACTATGTTTTATGTATATTATGCTGCAATAAATAGACCAAATGAAGCACGCAATTACCCCCTTGGAAGGAATGAAACTGAGTTCGCTTATTTTAGTGAGACGGTTCACGTATTTTGAGCATATTTTATCATATTAGATGGCTAGCTTTTCTACGGAGATCTGGCAACATTGGCGCCAAGACCCGTATTGACCTCATTGGCCAGGGTTCACAAACCAGTAAAATGTTTCAAAAGCAGTTTATACCTATTTAATTTCCGTGTCTAGAAGAATGTTTAGCAATCGCTTTTGTTGTATGTATTAAAAAAATGTATGTATTATTATTATTGCATACTTAAAACAAGCGTCAATCATTTAGGATGCGTGTCAAACTACATCATGTCTAACGTTAGCTTTTTTAGGATATTTAACGCTAATCAACATGCACTGTTGGCCAACTCATTTAGAGTTTTAAGAGTCTGCTTTGTCCACACATTTGATTGGAGGTCGTGTGGCCGCTCGCTTCATCGTTTTTCCTCGGTCAGTCCAGTCACCTTCATAGGCAGAAACTGCAGCACGCCCCCTGCTGGCTGAGTTCAACCAACAGGAAGACGGAAGCAAATACCGAACGCTTGCAAACTCATCGCTTGCCTTGAATCACCGAGGAGGCTACAAGGGCATGAGCCAAGAGCTTAGGACTATGACTTCTGTGGATAGTTCATAAACCGTCAGTGTATTACCTCTTTACGAGCACTCAGCGTTACTGTGAATATTACATTAACGTTTGACGCCTTTTCATCCATATAACGTTAGACGGGAACAGAATGGCATCGATTTTGCTCACCAGGTCTCGGACTCCTTTGCTGAAAACATCTAGGTCATTAAAGCACGAATTCAGAAAAGGTACAACTGTTCTTTGTTTATCATAGGAGATATTAGTATGTGGTTAAATGTATTGTTTTGAACACGATTTTAATGGTTAATATTGTAATTCCCTCTCTGCCTTTATGTATTGAGACGGGCAGCGAGCGATATGAACTGTCAAAATGCGGTACATTGTGCTGATGTAGGCGTACAGTAACCAGTTTTATTTATACAGCAAAGCCGACAAGGCCTTGCGACTTTAATATCACCTTGATTCGTTTACTGTGTTATTCAATCCGGACATTTCAGACCTGTCATGCACACTGCTGCAGATGTCTTCTGAAAAGAGTCCCTCCTGACACTACATTGGTTTAAATCATAGAGTTCGCAGTTTAGCTCTCAAACCTGGCCCGCAAGATTACGCTATTGAACGAGTGGTGAAAATGAGAGGCTTAAGTGATTAGCTAACAAGCTAGCTGTATAGCCTCACAGATTGAATCAGTCATAATCACCGAGAACCATCCGATGTAAACGTCTTCCTGTGCTGAGGGATGCGTCCAGTGCACTGGCACAGATAATGGTGGCTTAGGTTCACACGTGCTTGTGCGTTTGTGTCATCCTGCTCTGTTACTGTAAGCCAGTTCTGGAAAATAACAGCGCTGTAACTGTTTTTGACCGCTGGTTGGTTTGTCAGCTCATTGTTATGTTCAGCACGCGAGTCGTTTCCACGCTTTTGAAGAAACGTTTGCTTTTCGTTGAATTATGGAGTGCTTCTTTTAAGTGAGACGCTGAATTACAGGAATGAACCGCGGTGTTAGTTGCAGGTGTAGGCAGACGGACGCTCCTGTCTGAGAACGTCAATACGATTGACTGAAATCGGAAAAAAAAAATCGTTTAATGTTTGAAAATAGACACGCGTGTCATTTTATGTAGTTCTGTAGCTACGTGTAATGCGGCTATATATCGTTTTAGAGCGTCATGTTTTGCTGAGGCGGCTGGAGAGCCGAAGCTCGTAGTCTTGTGTGCACTGGAGGTTATCTGAGGACAGACTCGGCCGTCTGTCGCTGACTGCAGTGGCTGCTTCCTTATTATTGACCTGTCTTCTGTTTACACTAGTGCGTATCCTCGTCTACACTTGCGTTTTCACTGCGTTTCAGAAACGTTCTCCGTGCACACTGCACAACCGAAAACGCAGGTCACATGACCATTCATGCAGGGACAGCAATGAGCATGATGATGTTGTTGTTTACACGGTCGTCAAGGATACGCAGAGCGAATTTGGGAAGCCACGCCATCGTTTTCAAAAGTGTCCGTTTACACTGAAACGCAACCCCGGAGTTTTCAAATGAAAACGGGCCCTGCAGCGTTTTCAAAATTCTCCGTTTTATCTTGTTGCCAGTTGCACAGAGAAAATAGGGGAAACGCTGAGTTTTACGTCATTGTATAAAACTAACGATCACGTTTTGGAATTTATTAGTTGCCATTTTTTTTGGTTGAATATAAACCAATACTGAAATGTGTACATTTTAAAATATATTTGTAATTTTCAGTTAATATGCTCTGAGCGTGTAGTCGATTTGCACTCAAGCATGAGTGTCTGGCAACCCGAAAATAAGCGCGCCAGACTGTGTTGCCATGTCCGTTTGTTATAAACGTCTTTTGGTTTGTTGATTTATTACGGCGCTTATAGACACTGGCTGCGTTTTTGTTATTTCCAATTTATGTAAATGCACCGACAAAAGATTTATTCATTGATTTAGATGGTATGTTAAACTTTTAATTGATTTAAAACACATAATTACATAAGACAAATCCATTGCAGCAAATACTATGTTTTATGTATATTATGCTGCAATAAATAGACCAAATGAAGCACGCAATTACCCCCTTGGAAGGAATGAAACTGAGTTCGCTTATTTTAGTGAGACGGTTCACGTATTTTGAGCATATTTTATCATATTAGATGGCTAGCTTTTCTACGGAGATCTGGCAACATTGGCGCCAAGACCCGTATTGACCTCATTGGCCAGGGTTCACAAACCAGTAAAATGTTTCAAAAGCAGTTTATACCTATTTAATTTCCGTGTCTAGAAGAATGTTTAGCAATCGCTTTTGTTGTATGTATTAAAAAAATGTATGTATTATTATTATTGCATACTTAAAACAAGCGTCAATCATTTAGGATGCGTGTCAAACTACATCATGTCTAACGTTAGCTTTTTTCGGATATTTAACGCTAATCAACATGCACTGTTGGCCAACTCATTTAGAGTTTTAAGAGTCTGCTTTGTCCACACATTTGATTGGAGGTCGTGTGGCCGCTCGCTTCATCGTTTTTCCTCGGTCAGTCCAGTCACCTTCATAGGCAGAAACTGCAGCACGCCCCCTGCTGGCTGAGTTCGGATATTTAACGCTAATCAACATGCACTGTTGGCCAACTCATTTAGAGTTTTAAGAGTCTGCTTTGTCCACACATTTGATTGGAGGTCGTGTGGCCGCTCGCTTCATCGTTTTTCCTCGGTCAGTCCAGTCACCTTCATAGGCAGAAACTGCAGCACGCCCCCTGCTGGCTGAGTTCAACCAACAGGAAGACGGAAGCAAATACCGAACGCTTGCAAACTCATCGCTTGCCTTGAATCACCGAGGAGGCTACAAGGGCATGAGCCAAGAGCTTAGGACTATGACTTCTGTGGATAGTTCATAAACCGTCAGTGTATTACCTCTTTACGAGCACTCAGCGTTACTGTGAATATTACATTAACGTTTGACGCCTTTTCATCCATATAACGTTAGACGGGAACAGAATGGCATCGATTTTGCTCACCAGGTCTCGGACTCCTTTGCTGAAAACATCTAGGTCATTAAAGCACGAATTCAGAAAAGGTACAACTGTTCTTTGTTTATCATAGGAGATATTAGTATGTGGTTAAATGTATTGTTTTGAACACGATTTTAATGGTTAATATTGTAATTCCCTCTCTGCCTTTATGTATTGAGACGGGCAGCGAGCGATATGAACTGTCAAAATGCGGTACATTGTGCTGATGTAGGCGTACAGTAACCAGTTTTATTTATACAGCAAAGCCGACAAGGCCTTGCGACTTTAATATCACCTTGATTCGTTTACTGTGTTATTCAATCCGGACATTTCAGACCTGTCATGCACACTGCTGCAGATGTCTTCTGAAAAGAGTCCCTCCTGACACTACATTGGTTTAAATCATAGAGTTCGCAGTTTAGCTCTCAAACCTGGCCCGCAAGATTACGCTATTGAACGAGTGGTGAAAATGAGAGGCTTAAGTGATTAGCTAACAAGCTAGCTGTATAGCCTCACAGATTGAATCAGTCATAATCACCGAGAACCATCCGATGTAAACGTCTTCCTGTGCTGAGGGATGCGTCCAGTGCACTGGCACAGATAATGGTGGCTTAGGTTCACACGTGCTTGTGCGTTTGTGTCATCCTGCTCTGTTACTGTAAGCCAGTTCTGGAAAATAACAGCGCTGTAACTGTTTTTGACCGCTGGTTGGTTTGTCAGCTCATTGTTATGTTCAGCACGCGAGTCGTTTCCACGCTTTTGAAGAAACGTTTGCTTTTCGTTGAATTATGGAGTGCTTCTTTTAAGTGAGACGCTGAATTACAGGAATGAACCGCGGTGTTAGTTGCAGGTGTAGGCAGACGGACGCTCCTGTCTGAGAACGTCAATACGATTGACTGAAATCGGAAAAAAAAAATCGTTTAATGTTTGAAAATAGACACGCGTGTCATTTTATGTAGTTCTGTAGCTACGTGTAATGCGGCTATATATCGTTTTAGAGCGTCATGTTTTGCTGAGGCGGCTGGAGAGCCGAAGCTCGTAGTCTTGTGTGCACTGGAGGTTATCTGAGGACAGACTCGGCCGTCTGTCGCTGACTGCAGTGGCTGCTTCCTTATTATTGACCTGTCTTCTGTTTACACTAGTGCGTATCCTCGTCTACACTTGCGTTTTCACTGCGTTTCAGAAACGTTCTCCGTGCACACTGCACAACCGAAAACGCAGGTCACATGACCATTCATGCAGGGACAGCAATGAGCATGATGATGTTGTTGTTTACACGGTCGTCAAGGATACGCAGAGCGAATTTGGGAAGCCACGCCATCGTTTTCAAAAGTGTCCGTTTACACTGAAACGCAACCCCGGAGTTTTCAAATGAAAACGGGCCCTGCAGCGTTTTCAAAATTCTCCGTTTTCGAGGGTCGACAAGAGCAGTGTAAACGACAGGCGTGACCTTAGCAAAAGTAATGCGTTTTAAAATGAAAACGCACTAGTGTAAACAGGGCCTAAAGCATAATTTGTCCACCTTTTAATAACATCTGTCCATTGTAGATTGACATTAGTGACTTTTTGAAGTTAACCGTATTTGACATAGGCCTTTATGGCCCCGCCAATGGCTGCTGTTATTTTGACTACTCGGATCATCAAAAGATTAATTCATTATTCACTGTTAAAATAAAAACATTATAATTCATGAACAAACCACATCATTTCTTGTGTTTCAGGGCAATCCTGTGTTTCATGATCCATCACTTATATGAACTGAGTTTTCATCGTTGTCTATTTTTATCCGGCATTTTTGTGTTAATTTCCCTTAGGCATGTCATATCTTGATATAACCAATATTAATATTTATAATAATTAAAAATTACAAATCAAAACCTATCAAAGACGGTTTAATTCAACCTTGATACCTTCCTACATTTAATTTATACTTAATTGAAAAACATTTCAGTCGTACTTTGTTCACAGTTTTCTTAGCAGTGTAAACGACAGGCGTGACCTTAGCAAAAGTAATGCGTTTTAAAATGAAAACGCACTAGTGTAAACAGGGCCTAAAGCATAATTTGTCCACCTTTTAATAACATCTGTCCATTGTAGATTGACATTAGTGACTTTTTGAAGTTAACCGTATTTGACATAGGCCTTTATGGCCCCGCCAATGGCTGCTGTTATTTTGACTACTCGGATCATCAAAAGATTAATTCATTATTCACTGTTAAAATAAAAACATTATAATTCATGAACAAACCACATCATTTCTTGTGTTTCAGGGCAATCCTGTGTTTCATGATCCATCACTTATATGAACTGAGTTTTCATCGTTGTCTATTTTTATCCGGCATTTTTGTGTTAATTTCCCTTAGGCATGTCATATCTTGATATAACCAATATTAATGTTTATAATAATTAAAAATTACAAATCAAAACCTATCAAAGACGGTTTAATTCAACCTTGATACCTTCCTACATTTAATTTATACTTAATTGAAAAACATTTCAGTCGTACTTTGTTCACAGTTTTCTTTAAATAAATAAATAAATAAATAAAGAAAAATTACACAGCACAAGTAAATGGTAATAAAAACCACAAATCTCTGGACCTTGCAGCCTTAGCAAGCAGCTATGGCTTTATACCTTGTCTAAACGAAAGAAAACATGCTCTTTTGCTTGCTTACTCAACCACAGCATTTCTCCCACAATCTCTAATTGATTTTGAAATATTCTTGAAGTGCTTCCTGAGAAACCCCAGTAACTCCCATGTGTGGACTTTCTTTCTTGTAGCTAGTCTGCAGCGGTGTGGCCTGGCAAATGATTAACCGCAGCTCTGCTTGACAAGCCTATAAATTAGAGGTCCGATCTGAATATGCATTGTTAGGTAAACAAGTGCTACCAAGAATAGTTTTCATAGCATTCAGTCTTTGGATTGATAATGTGGATTATCATAAAAAAAAAAGAAAAACATACCAATTATAAGCTTGACAACACTGGCTATTAACTCTTTCCCCGACAGTGTTTTTTGTTTTAAGTTGCCAGCCACCGCCAACATTTTTAATCATTTTCACAAAAGTTTAATGGCACCCAGAATATTTATTGTATGAATATCTGAACATGCAATATGTTAAAACAAAGAACAGAGCCTCTGCTTTAAATAAAATAAAAAAACTTTTATTCTAGCTTCATACAATCTTTTTTTTTATCAACACTTGAATGTGGGTAAGTTTCATGAAAAAACTAGAGGTCGATCGATATGGGTTTTTCACTGGCCGATGCCGATATTTAGAAATCAGGGCAGCCGATGGCCGATATATGATGCCAATTTTCTTTCTTTTTTTCCCCATTCATCTCATAAAAGTGAGTTTGAGCAAATGATTATTGCAGGGTACAAGATAGTAATGGTAGTAGTAGCCCAATTTAGAGTAATAATACATGGCTCAAAACTTAAGCATCTTCTCAAAACAGTTCTGAAGGATGCTTTTTGTTTATGTTTGCTGACAGACACCAGTGTTTCCCCACAGACTGCAAATTAATTCTCTGCCAGCAGAAGGCGCTTTGGGAGCTGGAGATATAGCAGTTTCCCTGGTAAAGGCTGTAATCAAATAAGCGCTGCTCACAAACGCTATCAGGCATTACAGGAAAGACGAAATGAAAATGACATCGGTGCTTTTCTGAAGACAGTCGGTTCTTTTCAAAGATACATTGTAACAAAGTTCGTAGTTCGGTAAGAAGGAGGCGGGAACCGGCGAACATTTAAGATTTTAATAAAATAAACAAACACAATGAAAGTAAAGCGGCAGCCCCTCGCGGACGACTGCCACACAAAATAAAGTCCAGGCCTGGTCCTCTCTTGTCTTTCACTGTCCTCACTCCTCCTTTTATCCTTCCGGAGCTTCTCCGGGGGACTCGAGACCGATGAGTGGTGCAGGTGTCGCTCATTATTAGGGGTGTAACGATATATCGCAGTACGATATTTCGCGATGCAAAAATGTTACGATATGTATCGTAGACTGGTGGCGATACTTTTATGATATGACGGCAGTCTAATCCTATTAGTTGAGCTGCCGACGTGACCTACTCTGCAACAGCGTCGCGTGTGCTTTCCTCGCAGTTGCAGAAATCACTTAAACGGAACATTAGTCGGGCAACATGAGTTTGGCTGAAACTGAAATTGAAGATGCCCCGTCTTATAAGTCCAACGTCTGGCAGCATTTTGGTTTTCCAGTCACGCGACAGGACGACGGTAAAAAAATTACAGACAAAACACAAACTGTTTGTAAACACTGGAAAACAAGGCTGCCATACACAACGTCAAACACTTCGAATATGATGTGCCATTTAAAACGGCATCGCAACAACAAACTCCTGCCACAAAAAGGGTGAAAGGAGGCCAAACATCTATACAACGCAGTTTTGCTGCAACATGGTCTCAGTCAAGTGCGAAAGCTCAAGAAATAACCAGATGCATCAGAGTTTTTGTTGCAAGAGACATGAGACCCATTTTCTGTGGTCGAGAATGTTGGATTTCACGAATTGGTTAGCGTAATGGAGCCCAGATACCATATTCCATCACGCCCGCACTTCAGTCAAGAGGTAGTTCCAGCCCTGTACTGCGAAGCTAAAGCAAAGGTGGTCGACGGTCTGAAAAAATCAGAATGTGGCAATAATGACTGATGGGTGGACTTCGCGGGCTTGTCAGAGCTATATTACAGTCACGGCGCATGTTATTACCACAGAGTGGGAAATTAAAAGTTTCGTGCTTCAGACTCGCCCGCTTTTTGAGTCACACACTGGAACTAACATAGCTGGAGTTTTTAAAGCGGCTATACAAGAGTGGGAGCTTGAAAGGGCTCCTCATAGTACTGCTGTTGTTAGTGACAACGCACGCAACATGGAGGTGGCAGTGAGAGAAGCCGGGTTGTCACCGCATATTAAGTGTTTCGCGCACACATTGAATCTTGCATCGCAAGCAGGTTTAAATGTTTCTCGCGTCAGTCGCTTGCTTGGTCGCGTGAGAAAAGCCATGGCTTTTTTTCACCGCACTGCCACAGCAACAGCTGTGCTCGCGGAAAAGCAAAAGATGCTTGAGATCGCATCACAAAAGCTTATCATGGATGTGGTAACACGATGGAACAGCTCCATTTTAAATTTTGTTCTAAATATCATGATATATATCGTATCGTGAACCCAGTATCGAGATGTGTATCGTATCGTGACCTGAGCATATCGTTACACCCCTACTCATTATCAATTACTCCACCTGCCTCGCTCTGTTCCCATGGCTCTTGGCCCCGCCCCCACTCGTCACATACCCCCATCGCCCCTCGCAGGCCGGGGGGTACTCCCGAGACTGCGCTCTACTCCCCCTCCCCCCTCCGGGGGAGCCGATCACGGCGGCCATGGCGCACCTGGGGGGAAGCATCACAAAAGCTTATCATGGATGTGGTAACACGATGGAACAGCTCCATTTTAAATTTTGTTCTAAATATCATGATATATATCGTATCGTGAACCCAGTATCGAGATGTGTATCGTATCGTGACCTGAGCATATCGTTACACCCCTACTCATTATCAATTACTCCACCTGCCTCGCTCTGTTCCCATGGCTCTTGGCCCCGCCCCCACTCGTCACATACCCCCATCGCCCCTCGCAGGCCGGGGGGTACTCCCGAGACTGCGCTCTACTCCCCCTCCCCCCTCCGGGGGAGCCGATCACGGCGGCCATGGCGTACCTGGGGGTAAGAACAGACAGACGAGGCGAGAGAAAAGGAGACGGAAGGATGAGGAGAGACAGATACGAGAGAGGGGAGAGAGGAAAAGAAAAAAAAATTATCGGTCCGGTTCCCGGACAACACTGCCGCTAGGTCCTCAACCGGCTGAGAGGCTCTCACTTGCGGTGCCATGCGATGGTACTGGACATCGTTGGTGGACAGCCCACCGCTCCTCCGCCTCCTGGCGGACGGCGATGGCTCCTGTTGAGGGCAGCCGGCAGCGAGTCCCCCGTTCCCTGCTTCTCCCCAATCATGGTGGACGGCAGCAGGCTCCGGCCTCATGGCGAACGGGGCCGACTCCTCCGCTCCCTCTCGGACGGCAGCCACCCCTCCTCGACCCAGGAGCGTGGCAGCGAGCGCTCCGTTCCACCTAGTCTTCCATCGTTCCAGCACCACCGCCTCGGGCAGCCACCGGCGGTCTCTCCTCTTGTTCCTGTTGCCCGATCTCCTCAGCAGCGCGATCCCCGTCAGCAGCGAGGGCTCTCTGTGACAGCGTGTCCCTCCTTCCTCCCGGGTTTCGGCACCAATGTAACAAAGTTTGTAGTTCGGGAAGGAGGAGACGGGAACCGGCAAACATTTAAGATTTTAATAAAATAAACAAAAACAAAATGAAAGTAAAGCCTGGTCTTCTCTCGTCTTTCACTGTACTCACTCCTCCTTTTATCCTTCCGTAGCTCCTTCGTGGGACTCGAGACCGGTGAGTGGTGCAGGTGTCGCTCATTATCAATTACTCCACCGGCCTCGCTCCGTTCCCACTGCTCTCGGCCCCACTAGTCACATACATTCATATAAAAACACCCGCGCTGCATTTTAATTTTGAAACGTGAAGCGCTCATTTGATTCAACTTAGTATAAATATGTAATTTTCATGTGGCTCTAAGTCACATGGCACTTACAGCTTAGGTGTTGTGGTTGTGCCTAAAGTTTAATGCCCATGAGCCAAGATGTCAGCATGCAGGATGTGTTTTCTGTCTTTGAAATGAATGGGAATGCAAACGGATTGCATTATTGAATGCTTTGAATTGCTTAGGAAGGTCTGTATTGCTTACTTGTAGTTGACTCTGCAATATCTCTTTGGTTTTGAGACTTTAGTCTTTGCAACTTCAGTGATCTTATCTATGCACCAACAGCTTGTAACACTCCAAAGAGAAAGGAAAACTTGAAATCGCATTATATGACCCCTTTAAGCTGGGATAGTAGAAAGAAATGTAACATTAACAAAACTACAGTACATCCTATACATTTAAACCTACCACTCCCAACCATTAGATCAAACAATTTGTTACTTAGAAAACATCTGAAGCATCATGTGGAGTAAAAACATTTTGTGGGCCCACCCTCATATGATGACTGTTCATTTCTCTACACACCGTGAATCTGTTGCTGTTGTGTTCTTTACATAGCATCCTAAAACAGAAAGGAAGATTTGTGACCACAAAGTTGTTAGTTTTTTTTCTCCACCCTTAAAGGAAGTTAGACAATACACATGAAAGTTCATGTTCTTTCAACATGTCATTACTCTATACAGGGTGTGTTTTATTTTAAATTTACAGTCCCTTGATTGTTTGTCTTTGTCATAGTTTTTTTTTCCTATTCTACACTTAAAAAATAAAAGTTCTCTGTTGTCATCTATGCATACAGTCAGAATGGGTGAGAATAGCTTTACTGGCTTACTCCAGATAAGGGAGTTTCCAGAAGTTATATTTACAGTAAGTGGAAGGACATCCTCCACTCCTTCACTTTCGTTTTTAAATAGATCATCCTCATCCAAGAATGTTATATCTTTCAAATTTAATTTGCACTTCCTCTTTAAACTTAACACATTGCACTTTGTGACATGCAAGATGAACTGCTATTTTGCATCACCGAGATCAAACCTGGCACAAGACATCTGCTAGCAAACAATGTGGAATAGGACAATTTCAGACCACTTTGGCGCCCTAGGCGAAATCCTTGTTGGAGATGTATGCTTTTGAATAGGATAATGATATGATTATTTAAATTTGGTTAAATTTTAAAATTTGTTCATGGTAACCTACCAAATATTTACGTTATTTTGCTGATGCCGTCATTCATTAAAACAAAAAAATGTCAATATACACTAAATAATGGTTAAACTGATAACATTTAAAAACATTCTAATGCTAATATTCAGCTGCTTAAATGTACTTTAACAAGTGGTGTTTTTTGCTAAAATGCAATGTCATATGTTAATGTGTTTAAATGGTCATGAAACCCCAGACTACTTTTTCTGAGATTTTAGCAGAAGTGTTTGTGTTGTACATTATAGAAGACAATGTTAGCATCTAATAATTTTAACTGTTTGAGAAATTGGTTAATTTTAAGCTTTTTTGCGCTATTTTCATCTTCCGGGTTTAAAATCTACATCGTGTTGACGTCACAATTTGTGTACTACTATAGTAATAGGACTATATAGTACATCGATGACGCGTCAGTGTCTATTAAATTATTTATGAGACTGCGTGTTCTTATCCTATGAGAAGATGCTTTGCTTAATTATTCACAACAGCATGTGTTGATTTGCTATGACAGACGCTTCAGACTGCGAGACTGTATACATTAACTGAGAGTAACATTCATGGATCGAAGGAAGGAGAGCATTTGTTTTTGGCTTTGTAATAAGAGCTCGGCACAAACGCGATTCATTCATTAGTGAGTGTAACCGTTTTTACAGCTCGGTGACACAAGCCGTCAAAAGGCTTATATAAACGCAGCAGAATAAGCCTAAAAAGTTATCAGCGCGTTCATATATATGTTTTCGATGCAGAGTGCAAATGGCTGTGCATTTATTTGTGTTTTCACTCGATAGGAGTGAAATGAAACTGTCTGAACCGGAAGCTGTCTGTCCCCTCTTTCCGCTCCGCTGCGCATCACGCCCACTTTTTTTTTTAGCATTTTTTAAAACTGTAGTGAGAACTAACAAAGCACTTTATTTGGCCTTCCGAAAGTAGATGCATTTAGGAATCTTTAAGATTACTTACAACAGAACAGCAATGCATTTTATGGACGACCGTTTCGTGAACCTAGGAGAGGAGGTAATTCTGACTTTGCTATGACAATCTGGCGCTTCTGAATCAGCTACTGTTTTGTTATTAGTTTAAGTATTTGCTATTGACTGTTCAAATGCGGAGTTTTGCGCATCCTGTGTGTGTGTGTGAGAGGGAGGGAGGGAGGGAGCAAGCAAGAGAGGGAGTCACATCAAAGTGGAGTCAGCTGTCTAGACATGTGGGGGCGTGTTAGAATGAGCCATTTTAGGTAGGCGTGGTTGACTCTTAACTTTTATAAAGAATATCTCTTTGGATTTGAGACTTTAGTCTTTGCAACTTTACAGATCTTCTTTATGCACCAAGAGCTTGTAACTCTCCAAAGATAAAGGAAAACTTGAAATCGCATCATACGACCCCTTTAAGGTTTATTGATGAAAAGTTGAAAGTATTTTGGATTCCTCGTTATGCATCTAAGTGCCTCCATCGCTCTGTTTCTGATACAGTTCACACCTTGGACCTTACATACCTTAATTTGTGTGTCCTTTCTCTTGGCAGTGGTGATATTTTTCCCTGTCTGTTTATGCACCACTGGCAAGGGACCAAGTATTTTCTCTGTCCTTTTCTGAGATCCTGTGCTGGCTTGTAGCCTGTAGCACTCTTCATGACCCCCTTATGTTATAACATGTCATCCGTTTTTTTTCTTCCATCATGCACAGATGCATGGTGTTCCTGGAGCTATATTGCGTTACTCTGTCTGTCCATACTTCTTCATGGTGGTCTCATAAGTGTGCTATATGATATCATGATATCTAATTGTATATTTTCTTTACTCTGAATCTCTTTCAGGAAAGTTATCAGAAAATGCATGCTTTAACTGCACTGCACTGCGGTTAGCCACAAACAGGTAAATGGAACCGAATATTAAATTGTAACTGGGTCAGTGACATGATTCTCTCTTTTTTTTTCTTTTCTTTTGTCTGAATCTATTTGGAGAAAAGTGCAATTCATGCATACTATGGCTTGAATATATCTCTTTTATGATGAGCATATTTTTGGTTTCTAAATTTTATTTAACTTTTAATGATATAATTAACTAACATTGATAATAAGAAATGTTACTTGATCATCAAACCAGTATATTAGAATGATTTCTGACTGGATTAATGACTGCTGAAAATTCAGCTTTACTATCACAAGAATAACTGACATTTTACAATATATCACAATAGAAAACAATTTTATTAAATTGTAACAATATTACTATTAATGTAAATATGGTTGTTCACAGTATTACTGTTTTTATTGTATTTTTGATCAAATAAATGCAGCCTTTGAAACGTATTTCAAAAACATTTTTGTTTTATTCTTTCAAATTGGATCTTTATTTAAAGGTTGTAAAAACTGTTTTTCAGCAGTCCCAGTGTTCTTGGAGGCAGCACCTGGCCTCATGCATCATCTGCCCTGTACCTTGACAGTTCATCAGCGCTTCAGCGCCGCTTGTCCAGGTCACCTCGCCTGTACTGTTCCATCTTAGTTCATGACCCTGTTCACACCCACTCCACATACCTCAGGACGCTAGCCTGGCCACAGAACACCCCGGTCCGGTGGGTACATACTACAGGCCCCCTCTATGATGATTCAAAGTTAGAGCGTTCTTTACGCTCACTGAAGGATCGGAATAAAAAGCTTGAGGAGGGTGGACCGGTGTACAGCCCGACGGTAGATGCCGAACCTGTGCGACGGACAATACGCCAACGTGTGATTGATGAGGTGAAGCACTACTATCATGGGTTCCGCCTGTTGTGGATAGATACGACTATCACCGTTCGGATGCTCTGGAGGGTGCTGAATGGACACATTCTGTCACGCCGCGAGAGGAGACAGGTAAACACTAGGGCTGTCAAGTGATTACAATTTTTAATCTAATAAATTACGCGATGTGGAATTAATAAATCAAATCAATGGCAATTTGGCTTAGAAATCACCCCCAAAAGATAATTTACAGCCATTATTGTGTATATAAGTAGCTTTAGAAATTTTTCTTTTCTAAATTTTTCAGAAATTTTTTTCTTTTTAAATTTTTGTGTGAACTGTCCCTTTAATTAGTTTTTTATTTTGATTTAAAAATGATCCAAAATAAATTTTTGAGCAAGTACATAACCAGCCAGTGTTCAAATCTATCGCCTTACTTTAGCTCAATTTAACAACGTTTAGCTGGTAATAAAGTTTTCTAATTTGAGTGGTACGGGTAGGTTTTCGTGGGAAATTCGAGCATGGCGGTGCATCATTACGTTACGTCTGTAAACATAAAGAAGTTGTATCGGCTAGTATGCTATATCGCATGTGAGGATGCTGCAGGTGATGGATCGTTTATAGCCATTTCTCACAGCAGCTGGAATAAATGGCGGATTGTAATCCAGAAAGGTCGAATTGGCACGGTTTGATGTGATATTAGCTAACCAATCGTTAGATTTCATCCCCATTGATAGCGCAATTTATTGTAATGCTTTTTTCCTCCATTGATCAGAACAAAAGTGGCACTTGTTACTTACTTGTTCAGATGACATTCTCCAGTGAAAACTCTTATTTGGGTCATACTTTCAAAAAGTGCAGTATCCACACCGGTGTGGTGACCGACAGCCACACATTAGATTCATCCGCACTGGAGCCTCAACTCAACAGACCGTTTTGATGAGAATGGAAACAGCGGTGTAGAATAAAGGTAAAATATGTGAAAATAACGCGTTCAAGCCTTCAAAAAAAGCTGATCAACCACCCCTTTAATGAATCATTGACTCAATGAATAAATCATTCATTCATTCATTCAATTTGTTCAAATGGCTGATTCATTCAGAAATGAAGTAAATGGCTCTCTTTATGAATGGGCCATTGAATCAATGGTTCACCCGATTCGTTTAAAACTAGGATTCATTCCGAAATTGTGGTTTGTTTGGAGACGTACAGCAGTTCTGCTGTGGCTTTAATAGGATATATTTTCATTGGCAAAATTGAGCATAAACAGAATTTTTTTTCCCCTGTAACTAACTAATTACATTAACGCATTAAATCGACAGGCCTAGTAAACACACAATCAAATACTGCCGACACTCCAAAGGCTTTTTAAAGGATTAAAGTAAATAAAGGATTAGTCAATGGTAGTGTGCTCAACATTTCAGTTGCATAAGTTCACAGAACAGAATGGTTCAAAAAAATCAAAAACTGAAATAGATAACATTTAAAATTTACAACTTACAATTTTTCTATTTAGGCTACTATTTTTGTTATCTAGAGCTGATTATGTTTTAGGAACAGGGTCTTTGTCAAAGGGGTCCTCATATTTGGGATTCTTGGCATCAGGAGTGTGAAAAACCCTGTTCTACAGTGTCTGAAGGATAGCCATTGGATGACATGAGTTGATAGGATTGAACGTTCCCAATCAGTATTCCTCTGTTCTGATAAGTTTATGATAAATAACTGTACCCTGACTCCTGAAAGTTGCGTAGCAGCCAGCTAGTCAGATTAGAACTACCAATGTTTATACAAAAGTTGAACTCTGCTCAAATTTGTTGCATGTTAAATTGTTGTCAGTGTGAAGCCTCAAGGCTAAGACCACCTAATAAGCTTGTCCTTAAAAGAGTCAATGACAACATGTTTGCATTGAAATTTGGTAGTAATAAAGTAGCAATTTACGAAATGTTAGTATTTGCGATGAAACTTCCCACAAACACAAAAGGGTTAAAACTTGGGTCTTTACTTTTAATAGAAAATGCAAAGAAAACTGTCGTCATGTACCACTCTGGGCTTGTCAGTTGACCTGTCAGTGCTTATGTAGTTGTTCTTGGTGTGATGTAAATTGTTCGTCTGTCATTGCCCTGTGGATTTAACCCAGTGTAATGTAATTAAGTCGTGTATAGTAGGATTTGGGGTGGGTGGTTAGCATTCTTCCGTAGTTTAATCCCAGTCCTATAAAGTCTGACTGGATCACTTCTGTAGCTGAATGATTCAAATTAGTGCCATGCTGAGTCTTCAGAGAGCAGCCATTAGAGATTTCTCTAAGTCAGGAGGCTAGGGGAGACCCAAGACACTTTAACCAGCTCACATGGGACTAATGAGATTCCTGAGGCCTTTAGGATAAAAACTTGAAATAAATTATATTTTCAAAATATATCGAAATAGAACACAGCTATTTTAAATTGTAATAATTTTTCATTATATGACAGATTTATTGTATTTTTCCAATAAATGCAGCCTTGGTGAGCAATAAGAGACTTTTAAAACATTACAAAAACTTACCGACCCCAAACTTGATAGTGTAAGAACAAGGTTCCTGCTCATCTGTATTAGATTTGAGTTTTCAAGCACACAGAAGATCGCAACTATCACACATTGTATTGCATGATCGTCTCTGTTAGCATAGTGCTAATGCCTTCCCAACCTCAAATTCTCAGACAGTTGCATGACTCGGTCTGTTGTAAAGTGACACTTAAGTGACGCATATAATCTGTAACCATTGGAGGCCTCCATTGCGTTCTAAGTCAGTATACATACTGGAAATTGCTCAGGCTTTGTGTCACTCTGTCACTCTCTCAGAGTGAACCGTCCGTCCTGGGGTTGCTGGGATATTAATGCCACCGTTATCCACTACATTTCTCCTATCATTTCTCCACAGTCATGGCAATAGTACTGAGAAGGGATGTTTGGTTTTACTCTGGTGACAGTTACATGAAGCCACAGAGATAGAAACACCCCCTTAAAATTTGGTGTCCTGGCAAACATTTTGAAAACATTTGCTGCGAGCAGTCATTGTAAACATTAATGGTTTACTAAGGCAAGTGTCACTATTATTGCTCATACTTCATTTATTTATTTCTTAAAACCTTGTAAGATTTTCTTGGAAGGTTTTTTTTTATTTTTATTTTTTACAACATTTGGTTCAAAAACATCTACAGCTTTTATAATAGTCATGTTTGGGTAGTCATGGTTAGTTGTTATCAAGAGCTTACTGAGGTTTTCTTTATGTTGTGAGCTCTGTAAACATTAGCATTGCGAGCTATGCTAATGCCTCTGCCTCAGCTAGCATCTGTTGCACCTCACTCTCGCTATTCTTCTGACCTGCTTCATTCTTAATCCTGCCTATTCACATCTGGCCTCGCACAGCGTGGGTTCCTTTAGCTTTTGATGTCAGTCATCAACCCCCTTCCCAAACCCTCTGTCCTGCTCTCTCCCAGCCACTTCCTTTGGAATGCCTTCACTCTCCATCCCACTCACTCATCCCTGAATATTTCACACTCCAGGCCTCCCTGTTTCTCTCCTCCTCCCTCTCTCTCTCTCTCTCTCTCTCTCTCTCTCTCTCTCTCTCTCTCTCTCTCTGCCTGTGCTGATATACATGTCAATGGGCCAAACACAAAGGCTCTTTTCAGGCCTGCCTGGTTTAAATTCTTCCCTATAGGACCGCTGACACACAGGTGGAATAAGGGGAGCAGGGACCCCTCTTAAAAAGCTGAAGCTCCTTTGTTATCTAACCTCTAATTTTCTGAATTCATCATGTTTAATCAACTATATATTAGATATTGGCATGGGGAGTGGCTGCACTGATGGCTTGACTTGTCTCTGGTGTTATCTGCTCACTCCCATTTCAAATCAATTTTATTTCTTGTTTTGTTTTTATTTATTTATTTTTAAATTGTATCTTGTTTTGTTTTATTGTACTTTACCTGATATCTTTTAACTTTCAAATTATTATTATTTTTTTTACTTTGCAGGAGGAGTGAATCATGCATAAATGCATCCGGGTTATGTTTCACACACACACAAAAAAAAGGAAGTTAGCATTAACATTTTTAGGACCATCAATTTTTTTTAAACAATTTTTTGTAATTCATATCACTATTATTCTGGTGATTCTCATTCTCATGTATGTAAAAAAAATAAGTATTGTAAATAATTATATTACCGGTATTTTAAAATTATTTAAGGCATTTCAACAAACACGATGTACAAGTGCTTCATAATTTAACTTTTGTATGACTAATGATTTTGATTTTTTTTTGCTTTTGGTTTTACATTACATTAATGTATGTTCAGTTTTTTAGCAATGTATAAGATCTTAATGGCTTTTTAAGCTAAATAAGCTTCTTCCGCTTGATTTTGGGGTGAAATAGGAGCAGGACATGAGGTTCTCGACAGGTTTTGTGAGATTCACTCAAACAGTAGAGAGGAAAATCGGCAGCTTTAGAGAGAACTCTTCACTCTGTGAGTTTGAGCTTTGAGCTCTAATTTTACTCCCTTATGTAGTCCTGACAGAGCAGATCACCCTGTAGAATCAGTTCTTAGTGCCTCATGACAAGGATTGCAGGGGTTTTACTTCTTAACATTTTTATTTCTAGAGATTAGATTTTCCACCACTGATCAATAATTGCATTTCATCACCAAAGCAGCAATCTGCTGACATCACTGCCTATGTTATGTTAATTGCAGTTCCTGAGGACGTGTGCAGATGTCTTCCGGCTTCTGCCCTTTCTGGTCTTTATCATCGTTCCATTTATGGAGTTTCTGCTTCCTGTTGCACTGAAACTTTTCCCTAATATGTTGCCGTCCACCTTTGAGACACAGTCCAAAAAGGTACGCCGACCTCTCGATTTTTAATCTATAAAGACCTTAATTGTATTTCTGTCCTAGTCACACCTCTTATGCCTCTACTTATACAATACTTATACCAAACCTATTTGTCCTCATATCATATATCTCTCTCACACACACTGTCTTTGTGTTTTGCAGGAGGAAAGACTAAAGAAGGAGCTGAGAGTGAAGTTAGAGATGGCCAAGTTCTTGCAGGACACAATCGAGGAGATTGCACTAAGAAACAAAGCAGCCAAAGGCAATGTGACTGAGGAGTTCTCCACTTTCTTTCAGAAGGTAGATCATAGTCACATGCTCAGAACTCATCCTGAAAAAACAACTGTACTGCTGCTCCAAGTGATTCAAAACACAGCTCTGTATTGCCCACATGTGGTGATGCTTATGAAATGCTCTTAGATGAGACGTTACTCTTAAGCACCATGAATGAGAGCTTTTTTTGAACGAAAACTCTCTCTCTCTCTCTCTCTCTCTTTCTCTCTCTCTTCCTTTTCTCTCTCAGATCCGAGACTCTGGAGAGAGACCCAGTAATGAGCAGATCATACGCTTCTCTAAGTTGTTTGAGGATGAACTGACCTTGGATAATCTGACACGACCGCAGCTGGTGGCACTGTGCAAACTGTTGGAGCTGCAGTCCATCGGCACCAACAATTTCTTGCGCTTTCAGCTCATCATGAAACTCCGAGCCATCCGTGCAGACGACAAGGTTAGAACCTGTCCTTACTCAGCTGAAGATGTGTTGTCAAGAAGACTCAAGGACCTTTGCATTGTTTTATTTATAACAGTTGTATGTAATTTTTTACAGGTAAATAATTTTAAATATCTAAAATACATTTGAAAATATCTATTTTAATATATTATATGTTATATATAAAAAATACATGTATATTATATGTATTTAATATATTAAAATGTTGTTAATTACTGTGATGACAAAGCAGAATTTTTACTGAATCATTACTCGTCTTCAGTGTCATGATCCTTCAGAAATTTCCTTCAGTTTTCATTATCAGTATTGAAAACAGTTGTGCTTCATGTTTTTGTGTGACACGTTTTTTTAAGATAGAAAGTTCTAAAGAATAGCATTTAATTGAAATAGAAATCTTTTGTGACATTATAAACGTCTTTACTGTCACTTTTCATTAAAGTGTTTTGAATGCTATTGTATATACTTATATTTTTTCAACATAAAATTTTTCGTAGTGACCACGGCTGTTAAACTTCAAAAAGGAAACCGAAAACATAGGAAACACCATAAAAGTAGTTATTATGTCTTATGTCGTTATGTATTTAGTGTATAAGAATTCAGAGGAAATTAAAACAATTATCATGAATCGTATCGGCCACAATTTCTATATCAGCTAGCTGATTTCTTTGCATGTGTATGTGTGATTGGCAGCTGATAGCAGAAGAAGGAGTGGACAGTCTTAATGTGACCGAGCTGCAGTCAGCATGTCGTGTGAGAGGGATGAGAGCTCTGGGTGTGACCGAGGAGAGACTGAGAGAACAGCTTAAACAGGTAACACATGCTGCACTTTCCTCTACAATCATTACTTCCTAGTAGGGATGTAACGATTCACTCAACTCACGATTCAATTCACGATTTTGATGTCACGATTCGATTTTCTCACGATTTTATTATTTTTTTTAACAAAATGAGATTGAAGACATTATACAGTACAGTAAATTAACAGGTGTCGTTTTATTAGGCTATTGCTGCACGTTTCTTTGTGAAATTGAAATTAGGGATGCACCGATACTACTTTTTCCAGTACTCGCCCGATACCGATACTTTTATTTTTGGTACTTGCCAATACCGAGTACCGATACCAATATTTTCATTGCATTTGTAAATTTGTAAAATATTGGGTACAGGAACCAAAAGAGTATGTATAATGTTAGTTGGTTAACTTCATTTATCAAATAGATACAGTCAAACCAAAATTTATTTAGACACCTTCAACTTTTCTCACATTATCACAGTTTATTTGCTATAGTTTAGAAAATGGTAATAAAATATGACAAGAACTCGGAGTTAAACTGTGTCAGAACAAATTCAGCTTGATAATGTCAGATAACTTTGCATTTCCCACATGCTGTTAGTTTAACTTTCGCCAGAAAGTCTTGTATGCTTAAGGGTGAAAATAAATGACGTTTATAGTGAATGCCCCTATAAATTGTCTTATATTTACGATTTAGTTTTAATCCAAATGATGCGTGCTAAGTGAGCGAACATCAATAAAGATCACACAAAAGTGCGCGCACTCTCTCTCTCTCCCTCCCTCCCTACCGTTAAGTAACTTGTGCGTTGTTTTACTCACTACTTTTTGACATATCCGACCGAACTACAAACTTTCCAGTGATGTCTGTGAGAAAGGGATATTCACTCGATAAGGTCGCGCATCTGCGCCGCTGCGTGCTCAATCCACTCAGCGTGCTTTGCTTACCAGCTGACGCAAATCAGCTATACAGGCATTAATACTGAATGTTTTATATTCATTGCATACATATACTTCGTAGACATCTTTAATCTCTAATAACTCCATTCTGCTGTCTGTTGTCTGTGTTTCTTTGTCTGAATATGGCACTTATCACATGCTGTGTGGTATCGGGGCATTTTAACGAGTACGAGTACAGGAGCTCAGTATCGGTGCATCCCTAATTGAAATATAACAAAACTAAATTGACATTTTAAAACAAACCTCAAATCAAACAAGTTACACAATTAAAAGAAATCTCTTAATATGAACAAACTAAGGCTTTGTCTGTGCTCTTTCCATTTAAAATTAGAGGCAACCACTGGATTGTAATCATGAAAGGTACATGCAGCATGAGTAGTTTTTAATCTAAATTAGACTGTATAATTTCTAAATTTGAAGCAAATTCAGAATGGTCTGACTTCAGTTTTGTGAAACTATACTACATAAAACATCTGAACGAAACAGCAGACGAGCTGAATGAGACGCAGATTCACTCTCTGACAGCAGGTGGTGCTTATGAACAGCAATGATACAGTGTTTCCTTGGTTACCGCTGTAAACAAAGCAGAGCTGCGCTTATGAACGCTACTTTAATATGCATTGTTCAGAGGCAAGATTAAAAGAAAATACCACGTAAACTTTTCTAAAGATTGTTATTTCCCCTCAGAGATGCATTCATATAAACTCCTACTCCAATTGTATCGCGATTTGTTTGGCGTCTCAACCGATTTGAATAGTCACATATTTGAATCGCTTTTCGACTGGCTTGCGGTTAATCATTACATCCCTACTTCCTAGTAATGCATCTTCTCATCGTGTGTTTCACATTTCTGATCATATCAGTGGCTGGAGCTGCACCTCAATCAGCACATCCCTACATCTCTGCTGCTGCTGTCCCGAGCCATGTTCCTGCCAGACACGCTGTCCCCTACAGACCAGCTTACAACCACACTACAGAACCTGCCAGAGATTGTGGTATGTACTGCACAATATATATAATATTTTCAATAAATGTAGGTTAGTTTCACCAAAAAAAATTTGTTTTATACATGTAGCAAGTGCTTCAGATTTGTGTAATGACAGTGTGTTGTTCATTTGTGCATTCACAGACTAAAGAGGCACAGATGAAGGTGGCAGAGCTGGACTTTTCTAAAGTGGATAACAAAACCAAGCTGGAGGCCACGCTGCAGGAAGAGGCAGCTATCCGACAGGAAAACAGAGAGCGGGAGCTGGAGAGATTGTCTGATGCTGCAGAGAAAGAAAAGGAACAGGCTGCACGGGTCATTAGTCTCTTTCAGTCTGACAGTGATTCCAGTATCATACCTGTAGTATAGTTTAAATGTTCATGGAAGGTTTTATATGTGTTTCCAGGAGGCCGAGGTGGTGGAGATGGAAGCAGAACGATGTGTGGATGCAGAACATGCTCTCTCCAGTGTAGACGTGGCCATCCATTTAGAAACACTACGAGATACTGCACCGGTGCTGGAGGGTATTAAGGTAAGATAGTCACACGCACACACACACACACACACACACACACACACACACAACAAAAGGTGAACGGAAAGTTTTCTCTCTTAAATCTAAATTGACTCTGAATATGTATAAAATAACTTTTATTAAACATTAACAAGAAATAAAATCAAATACAAAAATATTTATATGAAAACTTGACTCAAAGTTTCCTGACATTTGTGAGGAACTTAAATGTGCAATATGGTTGCAAAATTGTGGTCAGCAATTTTTTTTTTTTTTTTTTAGTTTTATAAAGAAATTAATACTTCAATTCAGCAATTATGCATTAAATTAATCAAAATTGACGAAGTCATTTACAATGTTAAAAAAGTGCTGTTCTTTTGAACTTTCTATTCATTAAAGAATCCTGAAAAAAAAGGTGTCATGATTTCTGTGAAAATATTAAGCAGCACAACTGTTTTCGACATTGATAATAATAAGATATGTTTCTTGAGCACCCAAATCGGCATATTAGAATGAGGAACAAATTACATTTCAAAGTATATCAAAGTAGAAAAAAAGTTAATTGTAAATTGTAAAAATATTACTGTTTTTATCAAATAAAGGCAACCTTGATGAACATAAGAGGCTTCTTTCAAAAACAATTAAAAAAATCTTACTGACCCCAAACTTTTGAAACAGTAGTGTACATTACTGATAATGTGTCAAGCGTTATAAAATAGTGTTTGTTAATGAGTAATGAAAGCTATTATAAAGTGTTTTTATAACCCTTTTAAGGCAAGTCACGTGAAGGTATAGCCCCATTCTGCTTGAATTAGGAAAATCTGAAACATCCAATGCTGTTGAATGTGTTGATATATTTGATGCATAAAATAGTTTTGTAGTATAAATTAATTTTTTTTTAGCTGAAATCATTTGTGACCCTGGACCACAAAACCAGTCATAAGGGTCATCTGAAAGCTGAATAAATATGCTTTCCATTGAAGTATGGTTTGTTAGGATAGGACAATATTTGGCCGAGATACAACTATTTGAAAATCTGGAATCTGAGGGTGTAAAAAAATCTAAATACTGAGAAAATTGCCTTTAAAGTTGTCCAAATAAAGTCCTTAGCAATGCATATTACTAATCAAAAATTAAGTTTTAATATATTTACAGTAGGAAATGTACAAAATATCTTCATGGAACATGATCTTTACTTGATATCCTAATGATTTTTGGCATAAAAGAAAAATCAATAATTTTGACCCATACAATGTATTTTTGGCTATTGCTACAAATATACCCCAGTGACTTAAGACTGGTTTTGTGGTCCAGGGTCACATTTAATAAAAAATGGTCCAGCTAATTCACTTCTCTGACTTGATTTTGCTGTACAGCAGAATTTTGGACGGTCATGTCACAGGAACTGCTCTTTCTCTGTTTTTGTGTGTTCTGTATCATTTTGCGTGTTTATTTCTTCAGTTTGAGCAGTGGCAGAGGTATCTGCATATTCAGGTTAGATGCTGAACTGCTCCCCTTTTCATGTGGTTATACCTGTATCCTCCTTTCCACTTCACCCCGACTATTCCTTTATAAGTATATGTCTGTAGCACATTGCATATGAAACATGCAGCAAATCCTCATGTTGCTCAGAGACCCACTGAATTAACCTTACAATGCTTTTCAGTCGGTTTTAGTGACCTTTCTGTAATCACCTTTTTTTGTATGGGAAGACCTTCCTTTCCTCTGACTGATCCTCTTATAAAAGAACAACCTCTTTATGTCTCTGCATCAGAGTTGGGGAGTAACTAATACTCTTTTCGAAAGTGTGACGGTAGTTCAACTGTTCTCAAAACTAGCGTCACTTTTACAATAAGTTACACAACCGTTCAAAAGTTAAGGGACAGTAAGATGTAGATTGACAAAGCATTACATTGCTGATTTCGTTATATTGTGTTGTCTTGCAACAGAGCAAGCTGAGACAATAATCAAATGCACCTAGCTAGAATATATCTGTAGTACTGAGAGGTCTGATTCATTTTAATTTGTGCAGGCAGTTCATTATAAAAAGAAGGGGAAAAAATCACTGATTCATTATGTGCCTTTTGAGTAATTTCAGTGCAGCTGATTATCATTGTTACATATTCAAATCAGTCATATAAATTAGAGTAATTTTTTCCGGTGTTAGGCAGTCTAATCGAAATTCTCACAATTTTAGTGACAAATAGTTAATCAAATTATGTATTAAGATATGTATTTATATAGTGTAATAAGTTGCTTTTTCTTAACTTAGACAACGTTAGCTTTACTGTAGTTTAACTACTTTAAATCATGAGTTAAATCTTGAACATTGGTTACTGTAGTGGTGTCATCCCTATAGTGAACTAGCAGACAAGACTTTGGAATAGATGATGCTATTTAGTGATTTTATTTGGAATACTAACTTTAGCTGACTAAATAAGTTACATGGAATTTCCATTCATTTTATATATATTTCCTCATTAAATTTGTTACAGATTTTGATCCATTTCCAGAGCTAGCATCTAACTCGCACCAAACTGTTAAATTCACCACTGATTCAAAGGTTCCCCAACTGCTGTGCATGTGTGTGTGTGTGTGTGTGTGTGTTACCTGGAGAGTGTTGATGGACACTGTGTGTGTGTGTGTGTGTGTCATTTTTCAGGGAGAGGAGATCACTAAGGAGGAGATTGACATGCTGAGTGACGCCTGCACCAAACTGAAGGAGCAGAAGAATCTCCTCACCAAAGAGAAAGAGGAGCTGGAGGACCTGAAGGATGATGTGCAGGAGTACAGCGAGGTGCGTACCATAAACCAATCGTCCATTTTCATTTTTTGTCATAAACATTTAAACGTGATATCCACTATGTCTCTCTACAGGACCTGGAGGAGATCAAGCGAGAGCTGTCCAAAACAGGACAGGAGAAAGTGGTGGAGGAGTCTAAAGCAAGTCAGCGTCTGTCGAAGCGGGTCAACCGCATGATTGGCAGAGTGGATAAGATAATCAACGAGCTGGAGAAGGACAAGATGGTGCTAGACGGACAGATGGACAGCGGGACCACACCACCAATTGGGTAAGAGATCTTGATTTGCATGAGTTTTGCTGTTCGTATGGAATTGGTTTAAATGGTGATGGTGGTTTCTGTGTGTGAGTGTTTGTGTGTCATCAGTAATGCATGATGGGATGTTGCAATCGGCACAGTAAAATGGTGGTGGAAGAATAAACGAGAAGGGTTCCCAGTCCAATTAAAAATAATTTTTTGTTGTTTTTTTAGATTGTTCTTTGAGAAACATAGTGACTTGCCAAGGTAAGGACAGGAAAGACCTCTCGCCTTTCGTTTTGTTTTCTCATCAAAAGCATTAACTTAAAAATATGGACTAAACACCATATTTTTTCAACCAAGTAGGTCTGAGGGAGGTCTGAAGTGTGATTTTTTTTTTTTTTATCAATCAGTAGTCTGCTTGTCATTTCCTTTATTAGTATTTCTTTAATTAATGCCGGTTATTGTGGATAATCAATTGTGTGATTTAAGATTGTGCTGTGAAATCTTGTTCACTCTTGTTCTCAGTGCTGCAAGTATAAGATGGATCGCTTATTTTAAGGCCTTTATTTTTGTCTTCTGTGAAACTATAGTTACGGCTTGTATGATTTAGTCAAAAAATTCTTCAAGATTAGTGAATCATTTTCTCATTAATGACTCCAAAACCTCTATTCTGGGAACTCTGCACGACTGTCTTGGCATGCGATTGGTTGATCCGTGAATTTACTCGTCCTCCACCATTTTACCCCTTGTGTTATCAAGTAACCGTTCCCTGTATGCAGTTTGTTCCTGTCCTACAGGGAGAATCTGATAAGCATCAATGAGCTCATTGGAGTCATGAAGCAGATCCAGAACATCCCTGAACACAAGCTGCTCAGCATCGCAGATGCACTCGACGAAAACAAAGATGGCAAGATAGACATTGATGATGTCTTTAAGGTAACAAGATGGGACTTCTTTGGTCCCTCATTGATTTCAGCACTATAGTTTGACGTTGACATTTATCTGGTCTGTGTGTGTTTGTGTGTTAGGTGGTAGAGCTGATCGATAAGGAGGACATCGATATCTCCACCAACCAGGTGGCAGAGATCATGGTGATGCTGCAGAAGGAGGAGAAGCTGGTGGAGAAGGAGAAAGCCAAGGAGAAGGTCGAGAAGGAGCAGGCAGCTAAAATTCAAAACTAGACCTTCTGTGTAGGGAATGGAAAAGATCCTGAAGCTTTTCAGGTTCATTAATATGTGTTCAGAAGCTTCAGACTGAGACTGAAATCAGTGCTGACATGACATACAGAAGAGCCACAAATTAAACATTTGTTCCCTTGTTTAGGTAAATAATGCCCACAGTTGAACTAAATTAAAAGGAGGGAATGAACAATGAAGTCGTGTAAATGAATTCTTAATTCATGGCCATCATATCTTTTATTTGTCATGTTCGAGGCTCCGTAAATTCAGAGATACATTTTGAAAGAATATTTGTTCATGTATTCTCAAAAAGACCCTCTTAAAGGTGGAGTGTGTCATTTCTGGCACAAAACGGACTGTTTGTTTGAGCAGCCTTGTTGAGCTGGACATACCATCAGTGCAACCAATAGCGTGAGTTTGGGGTGGAAGTATCCTTGTGTCACAGAAATTGCGCACTTCATCTGTAAGATGCAAAAATGTATTCGTGGAAAATGAAAACTTTATTATTCTCCTAATCTCACACCCTGGTAGTGATGTAATTTCCTGTGATCTGAGGACATCTCCTGTCTTTGCACATCACATCACCTGTCACCATCATTCCACTACTCATCCAGTTTTATTCCGTTGCATTTTCATGAGATTCTTGAATGTCGCTCAGAAGATGTTGATCCAAAGAAGCTGATGTTATGCTTGTACATACACATTCAAGCCACCAAGCACTGCGGCTTTTGTCACACAGCAAAGTCTGAAGTAGTATTGGGACGTATCGCTTCAGCACTTGAGCTTTATTCAGGGCAGGAGCTTTTGTACAGACTTGAAGATAGTGACTGAGACAAATTCAGTTTTTGATGTTTTTGATTTTTGATTTAGCTTTTATCTTGGATTGATTTCAGCATCACATTTACATTGTGGCCTTAGTAATCAAATTCTCTTGTCCAATGTAAGCTCAAGGGATGAAATTTACATAATATAGCTATATTAATATTTAACAGTTCGTCAATGCTAATATTTGCATTGTACACTAGCAATACATTTCTGTGCAGTGGGCATCTCTGTTAGCTAGCGTGGGTTAAAAAAAGATAAAGTGTGTTTGTGAATGTTTGTATGTGTGAAAGAGTTCTGCTGGGTACCTGAAAGGGAAAAGATGGAGGTCAGTGCAGACAGAATCAGGGTACGGCTCAGCCATACAATCATTGTGACCAGGATGATCCCTCACTCCTTACACGGAGAGAGCGGCAGCAGTTGTTCTCATTGCAAAGCACCTACACAAACTGGAATGTGTCGATCAGCATGAGACTCAAATGCTCACTGGTAGCGTGAGTCTGGTAGCATAGTTTCACAGGGCACATAAGGCAGGGAATACATCATCTTAACCCTAAACATGTCATAGTGAAGGACCGGCATGTCTAATCTCAAAACACTTTCTCTGCTGTGTCTCAGACAGAGTTTGGGTGCCTATTTCACATTGTGTCCCTTAAAAGGATAGTTCACCCAAAAATGAAAATTCGGTCATTATTTGTTCACCCTCATGTTGTTCCTAACCTGTATGATTTACACAAAATGAGATGTTTAGCAGAATGTTCACGCTACTCTGTTCCACACAATAGAAAAAAGTCATAAATGTTTATAAGCACATGAGTGTAAGTAAATGATGACAGAATATTTATTTTTGGGTGAACTGTCCGTAACTTACCTAGGGGACCCTTAAATTACAGTAACAAAATTTAGGCCTTATATATTTTCATGAATTAGTATTATATACTATTTACATACAAGTGGTTCCAAAGTCAAATAAAATGAACTGATCTTTAAGTTGTATACAATATTTTTTCTTTATTTTTGACTCAAGTCCATGTGCATCTTCATGTTTCATATATCTTTTTGTCTTACTTTTTTAACATTTAATTGCTTTAATGCCTTTTCCCCTCCATTGCATTATTCACCTATCACTGACAGCATGAAATCAGATCCAACCTGTCTTCTCTGTAGTAATGATTCAATTAATTAATCTGACTTTTAATTCAAGTGTAACTTTAAATTCATATAGTTATAATATGAATTCAAGTGTAAGTGTGGTCTGCTTACACTAGTACACAGAGAACACAGATTTACAATCAAGTTTTTCTCAAATTTTTTTTTTTATTTAAATTTTTTTTAAATTATACATAAAACCGTCATAAATACTGTTTGAACAGCTTCTGCTAAAGTGAAAATAGGACTACGAGACAATAGTGAGAGGAGAGTCTTCTGAGCTTTTAAAGCACACTTAAACTGAACTAGACTAGTGAGATGAAATGGCACAGAAGTCCAGTTAGACTACACTGTGCTGTGTTTCTGTATTTTTTGGAAGATGATTTTAGGAAAGAAAAGATATGTTTAAAGATACACTTTCAAATTGAATTGAGTTATTTTGCTATGCGTGCACAGTTCCCTGTCTTTCTGATTAAGAAATTGAGAGTGCCTTGTTGCATTTGAGGCTGCAAAAAGGTATTTGGAGCATTTTATTATTATTATTATTATTATTACTAATTTGAAAAAGGCTTGCTTTTGACCTTCTCTCATAATGCAACATAATTTTTTACCTGGAAAAACAGAACGTTTTACCTGGTTTGTTTAATAACTTGACTGTTATGGATTTTGTCTAACGTTAAATGTAATATTTATAGATGCAAGTCTTAGAGTGATAAAACATTTAAGTTATTCATGATAAGATTGTTTGAGTAAAAAATTGCTAAACTTTCTATTTAATTGCTTTAATGCCTTTTCCCCTCCATTGCATTATTCACCTATCACTGACAGCATGAAATCAGATCCAACCTGTCTTCTCTGTAGTAATGATTCAATTAATTAATCTGACTTTTAATTCAAGTGTAACTTTAAATTCATATAGTTATAATATGAATTCAAGTGTAAGTGTGGTCTGCTTACACTAGTACACAGAGAACACAGATTTACAGTCAAGTTTTTCTCAAATTTTTTTTTAATTTAAATTTTTTTTAATTATACATAAAACCGTCATAAATACTGTTTGAACAGCTTCTGCTAAAGTGAAAATAGGACTATGAGACAATAGTGAGAGGAGAGTCTTCTGAGCTTTTAAAGCACACTTAAACTGAACTAGACTAGTGAGATGAAATGGCACAGAAGTCCAGTTAGACTACACTGCTGTGTTTCTGTATTTTTTGGGAGATGATTTTAGGAAAGAAAAGATATGTTTAAAGATACACTTTCAAATTGAATTGAGTTATTTTGCTATGCGTGCACAGTTCCCTGTCTTTCTGATTAAGAAATTGAGAGTGCCTTGTTGCATTTGAGGCTGCAAAAAGATATTTGGAGCATTTTATTATTATTATTATTATTATTATTACTAATTTGAAAAAGGCTTGCTTTTGACCTTCTCTCATAATGCAACATAATTTTTTACCTGGAAAAACAGAACGTTTTACCTGGTTTGTTTAATAACTTGACTGTTATGGATTTTGTCTAACGTTTAAATGTAATATTTATAGATGCAAGTCTTAGAGTGATAAAACATTTAAGTTATTCATGATAAGTGTTAATATGTTAATAAGTTAATAATATGTTTGAGTAAAAAATTGCTAAACTTTCCGTGGTCAGTAAGAGGAACGCATATAGGCCAGTAACGATGCTCTCCACAAGTCATGAAAATCCAGAAGAACTGAAGAAAAACAAATAGTGATGGCCTGCGTAGGAAAAAGACCACATGCAGCAGTTTCGATATCCTGAGGTTTGCCCTGGCTTGAGTTTGAAATGCTGCAATAGGATCGCTTACTCACTGTGAAACGTCTGTGGGATCTGCTGTGTATATGCCAGCCCAGGGGCCTCAGCGGGATCCGATTTACACATGCAATCCATCAGGTGTGTGTGATGCAAACTCACGCGGGTTAAACATACTGCTTACAAGCACATTCCGGATCATGACTTGATAAGGTACCGATGACAGCCGTGTATAATTCTCTAACTGCTGGCATGTAGCGTCACTTCTGTGGTGTACTGTATACTGCCTCGGTGCCCAGTTGGGCCTGACTGAAGTACAAAAACATCTTGACGGTATCGCTAGGTGAAAAATTGCATAATGTATATATTGTGTGTTGTTTGGAGTCACTTTATGGACATAGACGTGCTGAGAGCAGTCTAAAACATTAAATGGTGCATGCTTTGTTTATGTTAACTAATAGGCAAGGGACTCTCCTTTTTTCTCTTCTTTTTTTTTAACTCCACTATGTGAGCAGACATGGAGAACTTGCTTCAGCTACAGGCACTGCTCATCTACAACACTATTGCTTTATGTAATTCTCTTATTCTCAGTATGTAACAGTCTCTGTGTTTTGCAATACGCAGTTGCTATTACGTTCACATAGCACTTGTAGCATGTTGTTCACATTTAGCAAAAAATAATAATAGTAATGCACTGAATTTAAAGCTGCTGTGTTTTAAAAAAAAAAGTCTACTACCAGACAGAAATCACTTTTTTGAATAAGCCAATCAGAACATTGGCTGACCAATCAGAACAGTTGGGAGGCAGGGTGACCTTATTGTCAGACCGTTAGAAAAACCTGTTTGGAATTAGTTCCAAACAGTGGTTGCTTTTCTTTTGTTCATATATTTGGACCACAGAATGTTTGAGAGTATGTATGAAGCATTTACATCAATCAGAGGTCATGCATCATGCTGTATCACTGTAGCAGCTGTGTATTTACTTATATTGCACTGTATTGAATGGCAGTAGATTTTTTCACATAAGCACTTTTGCTATGCTTTCCTGAGAGGTTCCTGTTGAATGTACTTTGGTGCAAAGTTTTGTTGGTTTTTGGGATGGGGTAAAGATACAGTACATACCAAAATTTTGCTAAATAAAAAAGCTAATAATGAATTGTCAATGTGCACATACATAAATGTACATGCTTCCATTATTGGAAACCTGTTTACCTCAGAGTAAAAAATAAAGGATAATTATGAGTTTATATCTCACAGTGTGTTCTATTTTAAAATGTATTTCACAGTTTCCTTTTTTATTTTTTATTCTGAAGTAGAAAAGGTTTCTATATTACATAGATTGTTGCTTTATTTGTTACATGTTTCTAAACTGCTTCAGAATTGTGCAAAAAGACATGGCGTAAAATGTTTGTGACTTTGCATGTCAGCAGAGGTTTACGCATCCTAAATGAATACAGGAAGACTGAGGAACATAAAGGGACCAAAAAAGAAGCAAGACGTCAGTGACCCGAGTGCAATGGTTAAACACTTTTGTCTCTAGTGCATGTTTACATAGAAAAACAATGGAAAAGCAGTGCAGTTGAATATGAAAACACGTTCTGTGTGAACAGTCAGAAGGATCTAGAGCTGCTAATGCTTATGGTGCCCACACACTACATGATTTTATGCCTGATTTTCACTCACTGACGGTTTTCTGGAGATTGGCATCAAAAAGCTGAAATCTGAGGCAAATCAGTACTTGTTCACGTGAGTGACATTCCCATAGTATGAATCATCAAAGATGCTATCTGAGAAATGCGCAGATGCCTGAGAAATATTTAGCAGACTAACATCCGGACCTGTCTGCGACTCCAGTGTGAAATGTGTTTTGACTGGAAATGACATCAGCGGAACTGGACTGCTAACCAGACTCCATCACCCAACATCAGTTCCTGACCTCACTGTACTCATGTGTCTGATTAGGAGCAAATCCCTGCATCCACGTTCCAACATCTATTGGAAGCTTTCCCAGACAAATGAAGGGACCAACTCCCTACTAAAGTTGTGATGAGATGGAAGTAGTGATAGATCTTTTCCTTCTTATTGTGATGTACACCTGGGTGAAACAGCTTCTTGAAAAATAAAAAAGGTAGAGCAGGGACTTGGCTCTATGAATCATTATTGACTGGATGTTGAGATGTGGGCATTGCACTCAAAAGTAGAGGAAGTTGAACATGAGCTTGCAGGGGTGGAGTTTACAAAATGATTGGAGAAGTCATGCATACATTACCAGAAAGAAACTGGAAAGTTCAGTTATGACATTTTCATATGAAAGAATACCATGGAATTACTAAAGTCCAATTAACTAAAGCCTATTTTTGAAGCGTAGGCTGTATTTGGTTCTGGAGTGTCTGGGTCAGTTCATAGTGAATGTGCTGTCCTCCAGTTCGTTTGTGATTGTGTGTGTGTGTGTGTCAGGGCACTGCTGAGCAGGTGTTAGTAAAGCTGCTCTTTAAGAAGGCTGAACTATTGGCACAGCTCAGAGGGATGTGAAAGAGAGAGAGAAAACGAATGAGAGGGAGTTAGGCAAGAGAAGAGAGGAGTTAAGGAAGAGGAAAGTAACTGGTGTAAAGTGGATTTCCTGACTGGAAGACAGCTGGTCATTCTCATGGGACTCATTACAGCTCTGACAATCCAGTGTTACACACACAGCCTCATGTACATGCAAAACTAGGTCTCTGTTTGCTTGAATGTAAAGCCATGCTAATAAGTT